ATATATATATATATATATATATCTTATTTGTAAGTGACCTCAGGTTACATTTCCTGACTCAATGTAAAAACAGCAGATAAAATACTTGAGAGATTGGTTTGTCTGCCAACAATGAGAGAAGACTTCTATTCTGAAAGGGAAAACACTCTACTAGTGCCAACTCTTAGATGCCTAAATCTGGCTTCCAGCCCTACCACACAGAAAGGCTAGTTAAATCCTTTCTTCAGCGCTATAGCTTGCTTTCAAAAGAAAATCGTAAGTGAGAAAATCATGTACTTTTCAGGAAATTCATTTCTTAATAAAGAAAAGCTTAGGCACACAGAACAGGACCTACCTTTCTAAAATGTGCAAGCATATCTGGGCTTCGCTCACACATTTCTGTGAGGAGGACTACAGATGTATGAAGGACACCTGAAAGAAAAGACCAAATAAACTAAAAATAAGGCCCTACCATTGAGTTCCAGAGAAGAAGGCTTTGAGTTCCTGAAAGTCAATTCCAAAAGGATAGCTGCTTCTTTTACTTTTTAATCCCCTAAAGCATCCAAGCATTATGGGGAATACAAAGAAGGTACTTAATAGAAGCCTGCTGACTTAACATTGGTCAAATCAAAGCATTTTTGAACAATTACGTGATCAAAATAATTACTTTAAAAATGACATGTCTCTTTGAAAATATCCAGGAAGACTTACAATCAATATAAGCTACATTTCTTTTGCTCCATACCTACCATGTAAGCTATTAGTTCAGTCTTCACAAATTACAGAGAGAAAAATCTTAGTAGGATTTTAAATTTCCAGATAAAATGCACCAAAATTCCAAAATAATTATAATAACAAAGTTGTTCATTCCAAAGTCAATAAAGAGAATATCACAACGCTTTTCACTAAGCAATAAATGAGGGACGTAAACATTCCTTTATTCAATAAGTATACTTTGAACATACTGTGAATGCATCACTGTATTAATCAAATTAAATATATAGTAACTTTTTTTCTCTTAGCCCATAAGATACATAAATTTTCTTCATTTAGATAAGAATAAATTGGGGAAAGAACAGTCACATTCCACTTAATTCCTCTGAAATTTTATGTAAATGTAACTGAATACTCATTAAAATTCCTGTTACAAGTAACTCAGAAGAATTTTGTCAGTCGCTGGGCCTTGGGTGCTGTCCCTGTGCTCTTTTCGCTCAAGGGTAGAACTCTACCACTTTGAGCCACAGCGTCATTCCAGTTTCTCTAGTGGGTAATTGGACATAATCAGATGTTCCTGTTTGGCCTGGCTTTGAACTGCAATCCTCAGATCTCAGCTTCATGAGCAGCTAGGATTACAGGCATGAGCCACCAGTGTCTGACTTCTTTAATCTTATACTTTTGTTGTTGTTGGTCATGGGCCTTGAACTCAAGGCCTGGGTGCTGTAGCTTTTTCACTCAAGGCTAGTGCTCTATTACTTATGGCACAGCGCCACTTCCAGTTTTCTGGTGTTTAAATGGAGCTAAGAGTCTCATGGACTTTCTGCCCAGACTGGCTTTGAACTACGATCCTCAGATCTCAGCCTCCTAAGTAGCTAGGATTACAGGCATGAGCCACTGGTGTCCCACTGATTTTATACTCTTAACACATAACAACGAAGAAAAACATTTGGTATAAAATAAAAATTTAGTATAAAATAAAAAGATTCACAGATATGAGAAATCAAGGGTAGGATATTTATACATCATACTAAATATTATTAAGAGAACCAGAGTTGAAAGTTAAGTTTACCTCAATAGTAAAGCAATAATTATAAACTAGGGGATATCTGAGCAGACCTTCCTGGAAAACTAAGCACACCAGACTGACACATCCTTAAGCCTTTTCTCTTTCCCTTTCTCCCTCAGTACTTCATGAGTCCATCCAAATCATATTACCATGGTTCTTCTCATTCAATAAATTTTTTGTTGCTGGCAAAAACATCTCCATAAGTTCAGGAACCTTCCTGATGACATGAACAGCACACAGTGCTGCCTATTAAAAAAAAGAAGAAGAGGGGGGAGGAGAAAAAAATTATTTCAAATAAGTCAAGGATAGAACAACCAATCTTACTTAAAAACAACAACAACAAAAGAATTCACCAACTAATTCACTATTAGGAAAATAAAGAAGATGGATATGTTTTATTGTTTATGAATGAACTAGGTCTTTGTAGTATAGACTGTTGTAATAATGACCAACTTCTAGCTGACCTGTTCCTTTGTTAACAAATGGACAAAAACTTTCTAGATTAGAACCTGGTTAATATAAATTATCATACAAGTTAAAACAGAAATTATGTGGAGTTCTAGTGAGTAGAAATAGAGGACTTCCATCTTTAAAATCATTCCTGAGTAGGATGAGAAGATATTAAGACATCATTCAACCTAAAGATATAAACTGCAGATGCTATATATTTGACATTACATTTTTTTCTCAATATCCTGTCTCCAACTGACTCTTTTAACACAAAGAAAATTATTTGGGGGAAGGAGGTAAAGGGGAAGGGGAGGATTTGAAATATACTTAATATCCACTAAATAAAATACAGTATTACTAACCTATTTACCAGAAAGAAAGATTGATTTTCGTTACCCACCATCAAAGTAATCATTTGAATCAAATACCATAAAAGCTTAGAGAGATTAATAAATTTTTGTTAATTCTTCACATGTTATATGACAGTGAAGGCACTAATCTGAAGGAATATTTATTTAATGTAATGTACCTGTTAAAGAGGAATAGAGCCTGCAGTCTTCAAGAAAAAGTAATGGCTTACAAATTAAGAAATTAATTTTGTGCACAGTTATCATTAGCTATCATCATAAGAAATGGCTTGGCTTTTACAATGACACTTGTTAATAGATTCAGCAAATAGCAATTAAGATGGTATTTCTTTAACTTCATTTACAAAGGTTTCAGGGTTAAAGCATAATTTAAAACTGAATAAAATGTTTATACCAATAAGTGAGAGTAGGTTAGTTAGGAGAATAGGATCATTTCTCATAAATTTAAAAGAGTTCTATATCATTCCCTCATAATTTTCTAGGTTCCAATGACATCAGTAGAAAGACATGAACACTAATTATTAGCATAAAAGTTCACACGTACAGATCTTCATTTTACTACTGTTTAGAATTAGATAATTTAGAAAGTAACTAAATGTGCCTACCTAGGACATCCAGTACATCTTATTTATAAATCATCTCCTTAAAAATAGATGAGTTTAGATTCACATATAACCATTTAAAATATATTTATTACAGAAAGAAAAATATAATACCATCTAGCTTTCAAAAATAACTAATCTGCTCTCTTATCGCCATAATGTCCTTTAATCCAAATACTGACATTCATTACATTACCTTTTTTCTTTTTTTTTTTTTTTGGGTCCGGTCGTGGAGCCTGAACTCTGGGCCTGGACGCTGTCCCTCAGCTCTTCAGCTCAAGCCTAGCGCTCTACCATTAGAGCCAAAGCACCACTTCAGGCTTTTTTCTTTTTGCTTATGTGGTGCTGAGGAATCGAACCCAGGGCCTCATGCATGCAAGGCAAGCGCTCTACCACTGAGCTACCTTCCCAGCCCCAACATTACCTTTTTTCTTAAGTAAGAGTTGGAAGTTTTCAAGAGCTTCTCTACCTCTCCTGCAAGATCTCTGCACATCTCTGAGGAGCCCATGCAGCCGAGGGTACAAAGTGCTAGCCCCTGCACAAACTGCGTGCTGTGATTAAGATCACTGCAAAAGAAAGAAAGGCAGGTAAAAACAAATTTTCTCTACCAGTGCTGCCCACAAAGAAGCTGTACAGCTTCATAAGGTAGTTTGGGATGACTCAGATTTCTCCAATAATTCGTAGTATCTTTCCAGTAATTACTAGTATTAATTAGAAAGAAAAAATTTATTTCAACATTATAAATTTCCAGTACAGTGAACTTACTGACAGTCCCTCCTATAGGTTAACTACCTTGGAAGCTCCACAGTGCGATTCTGTCTTGTGAAAAAAGAAAACTTCTGCTCATAACAAAATAGTAAAAACTATTAGTTTTATTAAAACCCAACTTTTTTTTTTGGTAGAACTGAGGAATGATCCCAGGACCTTGTACACATTAGGCAAGTACTTTACCACTGACTTACACAGCCAACTTTAAACCTCAACTCTTTTTTTTTTTCTTTTTAAGACAGGGTCTTGCTATGTAGGCTAGCCTCAAATCCACAATTCTTCTATCTCCATCCCCTGAATGTTTGAGTGTACATTTTCAAAATATTCTAAAGGAAGCGGTGACACTGTCAAAAAAGAAATGTACATATTACCTTTGTGAAATGCTAATTTTTCTACGTAATACCTTAATAATAAAAATTAGATTTAAAAAATATTCTGTAGGACAAAATGGGAAGTATGCATAAATTACAACTGCACAGTGAAGTAAAATGAAAGCCTCAGAAAAAGCAATTGTAAATCTGTTTCATTTGTAAACTGAACTATCAACTAGCTGCTCTAAAAACATAAATGACAAATATGACAATTTGGGTATGTGGTAGATATTCTCTGTACAAAGAGTCATGGAAGCCTCTAACTTCAGGAATAACTGTGTATGACCATAAAGAATGCAAGCTAAGAAGTGGCGCTGTAGCTCAAGTGGTAGAGCGCTCGCCTTGAGCTGAAGAGCTGAGGGACAGCGCCCAGGCCCAGAGTTCAAGCCCCACGACTGACAAAAAAAAAAAAGAAAAAAGAAAAAAAAATGCAAGCTAGGGGTGAGCACTGGTGGCGAGCACCTGTAATCCAAGCTATTCAGGAGACTGAGATCTGAGGATCGAGGTTCAAAGCCAGTTTAGGCAGGAAAGTCTGTGAGACTCCTATCTCCAGTAAACTACCAGAAAACTGGAAGTGGTGCTGTGGCTCAAGTGGCAGAGTGCTCGCCATGAACTGAAGAGCTAAGGACGGCCCCAGGCCCAGAGTTCAAGCCCCATGACTGACCAAAAAAAAAAAAAAAGCAAGCTGTAAAGTAAAACTTAGATGGCACTGTGGCTCAAGTGGTAGAGCACTAGCCTTGAGCAAAAGAAGCTGAAGGACAGCACCCAGGCCCAGCTTTCAAGCCGACAAAAAAAAAATTAGAATTTTATAAAACTTGTATTTGCAATATAAGCTGAATGTTTTACCAATATTTACACCTTTCTGATTAAATTAGTGGTAATACTAACTGATGGTTTTGCTTAATATTTGGTAATGAAATGCATTAATATCAGGAAGATATGCATAACTTGGTGAACTAATTTTTCCAAATGGACCCATTATAGTTATAAAAATAACTACTCAAAGTAAAAACAGACCAATTGGTCTTAACATAATAAAGCACTAGGGGCTGGGAAGGTGGCTCAGTGGCAGAGCATTTGCCTTGCATGCATGAGGCCCTGGGTTCGATTCCTCAGCACCACATAAGCAAAAAGAAAAAAAAGCCGCAAGTGGCGCTGTGGCTCAAGTGGTAGAGCGCTAGCCTTGAGCTGAAGAGCTGAGAGGCAGCGCCCAGGCCCAGAGTTCAGGCCCCAGGACCAGACCTAAAAAATAAATAAATAAAATAATAAAGTACTATGGCATCACAAACAGCCTCAGAGTCAGCACTGCACCTTACCTTTAAGAAATGATTACTTATTAAGAAATATAAAGAAGCCGGGCACTGGTGGCTCATGACGGTAATCCTAGCTACTAAGGAGTCTGAGATCTGAGGATCATGGTTCAAAGCCAGCCAGGATAGGAAGTTCGTGAGAATCTTATCTCCAATTAACCACCAGAAAACTGAAAGTGGCACTGTACTCACATGGTAGAATGCGGGCTTTGAGCAAAACTCAAGTACAGTGCCCAGGCCCAGACTTCAAGCCCCATGATTCACCAAAAAAAAAAAAGAAGAAAGGAATGGATATGTCACAGGGGGATGAGATTATTGAAGGGGGTTACACAGATCAAGATACATTGTATTCATATCCTGCTGTATTAAATGACCCTCCTTTGTACAACTACTTAAAGGAAAGCACACAAAAGAAGGAAGAAAAAGAGAAGGAGGGAGGAATGGAGGGAGGTAGGGAAGAAAAGAAGGATTTTAGGACAGTATCAAGTAACATCTCTAGTTATTTTTAAAAGCCATTATGCTTCCCTTTTCTAATTGTGCTATCTGGGAAAGGCTATATTTTCTTCACTTACTCATTCAATATGACATAACACAGGAAACAATGTAGAAGCACATAGGTGCATTCAACATCTTCTTTTAGGTTAAACACTGAAGAGTTATGAAAATTTAAAATACTACCACTCCACACGATCTTGTTTTTTATGTGTATAGGTCCTGGGGCTTGAATTCAGAGCCTGGGTGCTGTCCCTGAGCTTTTGTGCTCAAGGCTAGTAGTGCTCTACCACTGAAGCACAGCTCTACTACCAGATTTTTAGTGTTAACTGGAGATAAAGTCTCATCAACTTTCTGGCCCGGACTAGCTTCAAACCATGATCCCCAGATTTCATTCTCATAAGTAGCTAGGATAACAGGAGTGAGTCACTAATGCTCAGCCTAAAAATTTTGGTTTTGTTTTTGCAATACTGAGGTTTGAGCTCTACTACTAGAGCCACACCCTCAAGACGTTTATTTTGGGCTGACCTCAGACTATGATCCTTCTACTTACACCTTCCCAAGAGCTGGGGTTCCAGACATGTAACACCATACTCAGCTTGTTTGCTTTAATGAATTAATGAATCCCCCCCAGCTAGGGGATGCCTAGCTGATCATACATTGCAATCCTCCTAGTTTCCATCTTGCATGTAAAAGTATTTTATTTTTTATAAGGAATGTTATTTACGTTAACATACAAGAGATCCACTATTAGAACTCCTTTTCACCTAATTGTATTCTTTTTTTGGTGCCAGTACTAGGCTTGTACTCTCAGCTTCACAAGGCTGACACAGAAACCACTCCTCCAATTCTGGTTTTTTGTTGGTTAACTAGAGATAAGTATCTCTGGGATATTTCTGTCCCACCTAGCTTCAAACCTCAATTCTCAGATCTTAGCTTTATGAGTGGCTAGGATTACAGATGTGAGCCACCTCCACCTGGATTACAATGCAGGTTCTTAAGATATTAGATTTAATTTTTTGAAGGAATTAATTCTAAGGACTTTAACTTCTTAAGAGTTTTTCTAAGTCAATGTATAATAAAACAAATATTTTATTGTTAAACATAAAAACTATTGATACACTATGGTACTGCATAACAAACCCATAAAGATATATATGAATATACAACTTTTAAAAATAATTGAATAATTCAAAACAAAGTAAAATCTTTGATCAATTCTCAATTATTCGGGAAAAAAAAAAAGTTCTCTCCCAAAGGCACCGGGGTCTTAGCTGGATATCATTCAAACTAAATACAAGCCAGGCAAGGTGGTACAAGAAGAGGATGGTTGAGTTCCAGACCAGTCTGGGCTAAAAACAAAATTCTTTCACAAAAACAAAAAACAAAAAAAGCAAAACCAAATAGAAAAACTATAACATATATTCTCCTAATTGAAAAAGCATGAAGGCTATACACAAGGACTGTCATTTGAGTGAGTCCCATTTTCTGCGTGGGGAGCAGGAAATATTTCTTTCTTCTCCATTTCTTCTAATTCTTCCCTTTTATACTAAAACACTTGCTATTTTTTTAAAAAACTAAAAGATTTCTTCTTTATCTATGCGCCTCATTCTTCCCTTTTAATCAAGCTAAACCTACACTTAGGTTTCATATTAACTCTCTAACATGAACTTGCTGCCAGGCAGAAATTCCAAACCATTAGCATGTGATTCAAAGGTTGAGTAATACAGGCAACAGAGCATGTAGGAATAAAAGTTCAAGGAACTCCCTTAGAGATCTATGAAGTAAACATATGAAAGAATTATACCAAACATCTAGAACATACCCTCAAGGACACCCAGGATTTCACTTTCCCCTTTGCCATCCCAGTATTTGCAACAGCTCCTGGCATATAAAAGGTGTGCAATAAATTGAATAGATGAAATCAATTTAGTAGTCTCAATATTAATAACTATTTCATAGACAAAAAAATAAGAATTCTTCCCAAAAATAAGTCCATAGATTCGTTGTATTTAAATGTTGCATTAACAATTGCAATTAAGTCATAGCTGTCATTTAATAATTTGGTTATCCATTGAAAAAAATTTATCACTAGTTTCTAACAAAAAAAAAGAGTACAAGTTTTAAATATCCGCAAATCTAATCATCTAATTCTATATCCTTAACTTCTGCTTTTACTTTCTCTTAAATACAAATTAAAAAAGAATCCTAAAAAGGTGATTCAAATCACAGGTAAACCAAAACCAAACTTAAATAAACCTAAAAGTACTAAAGGCCAACAGAACTTTCATAGCTTTCTTTTCTTTTCCTCTTTAGGACAAGATTTGTGTGTGTGTGTGTGTGTGTGTGTGTGTGTGTGTGTGTGTTTTTGCCAGTCGTGTGTGTGTGTGTGTGTGTGTTTTTTTGCCAGTCCTGAGGCTAGAACTCAGGGCCTGGATACTATCCCTGAGCTTCTTGAGCTCAAGACTAGTGCTCTACCACTTTGAGCCACAGTGCCACTTTCAGTTTTCTGGTGGTTAACTGGAGATAAGAATCTCATGCACTTTCCTGCTTAGGCTGGCTCTGAACTGTGATCCTCAGATTTCAGCCACCGGAGTAGATAGAATTACAGGCATGAGCCACTGGCAACCTGGCTTTGAGACAAGATCTTGTTATATATAGGCCAAGCTGACCTCAAACTCAAGATACTCCTGCTTCAGCCTCCTGAGTGGTAGAATTATGGGAAGATGCCATACCCAGTTCAGAGAATTTCCCTAAGGATGCTAAGAAGAATTGCTAATTTCCTGCTCAGGTCTTCTAATTTATCCATACAAGAAGTATTTCTCAGATGGTCAGCAAGGTAAACATAACCAGTACCATCAGACAAGCAGCCATTAGAGTTTTAAAGAATATTATGCACCAGTGGCTCAGTCCTATAATCCTAGCTACTTAGGAGGCTAACATCTGAGAATCAAAGTTAAGACCTGAGAATTGAGTTTTGGAGCCAGCCTGGTCAGAGAGTTGGAGACATTCGTATCTCCAATTATCCAGCAAAAAGCCAGGGGGTGGTATCAGAGCAGGGTGGGGAGAATCTCACTATAAAATCAGTCATAGTAGTATACATCTATTAAGTTAATGATTCTAGCACAGACAAATCCTAATCACAGACAAGAGGATTGCAAGTTACAGGTCAGCCTAGACTACACAGCAAGGCCCTGTTATGAAAAGAGAAAAAAAGCATTGAAATTTAAAGGGGCCCGGCACAGTAACAATGCATGTCCATAATCTCAGTACTTAGGAGGCTCAGGCAAGAGGATTGAGAATTCAAGGCCAACTTGTGTTACATACCAGGCCAGCCTAAGCTATATAACAGGACCTTCTTTTTATTTGCGAAAGGGGGGCGCCCTGGGCGCTGTCCTTGAACTTTTCAGCTCAAGGCTAGCACTCTACCACTTGAGCCACAGCGCCACTTCCGGTTTTCTGGTGGTTTACTGGAGATAAGAGCCTCACAGCCTTTTCTGCCCTGGCTAGCTTTGAACCACAATCCTCAGATCTCATCTTCCTGAGTAGCTAGGATTACAAGCATGAGCCACTGGCGCCTGGCTACAAGACTTGATCTTTAATTAAAAAAAAAAAAAAAGAGCTAGGCACTGGTGGCTAATGCCTGTAATCCTAACTCAGGAGGCTGAGATCTAAGGATCACAGTTCAAAGCCAGCCAGGAAAGTCCATGAGACTCTTACCTCCACTTAACCATCAGAAAACTGGAAGTGGCACTGTGGCTCAAAGCGGTAGAGTACTAGCCTTGAGCAAAAGAGCTCAGGGACAGCTCCCAGATCCTGACTTCAAGCCCCAAAACTGTCAAAAGAAAAAGAAAAAAAAGAGAAAAAAAAATCACAGAAATCACAGATATAAGTACAATTCAACACAAATAAAAATCTCAGGAAGATTAGAACACTGATATGAAAATCCTCTCTTTACTTTTACATATTCAGAATATATTGTGTGTGTATGTCCACTTGCGCTGATAATGGGACTTGAATTCAGCCCCATGTTCTCACTAAGCTTTTCCTGATCAAGGCTGGCACTCTACTACTTGAACCATACCTTCACTTCCAGCTTTTTGATGACTAATTGAGAAGAAGGCCTCTCAAAATTGTCTGCCTGAGCTAGCTTCAAACCATTATTCTCAGATCTATTTCCTGAGCAGTTAGGATTAGAGGCATGAGCTCACCTGTGCCATGTCTTTTTTTTTTTTTTTGGTGCCAGTCCTAGGGCTTGAACTCAGGGCCTAAGTGCTGTCCATTAGCTTTTTCTGTTATAGTGTTAGGGCCCTAATTCCAGCCTTTTGGTAATTTATTGAAGATTAAGAGTTTTATGGACTTACCTGCCCAGGCTGGCTTCAAATTATCATCCTCAGATCTCAGCCTCCCAAGTAGCAAGGATTATAGAAATGAGCCACCAGAACCAAGTTACATGTAGTTTTTAATAAATGTACAGTTCCATTATTCATAGTCTTCAAAGTCCTTGAGATCTAAGATATAAGTCTACATTTTACCAATTTTTTTTCTTTGAAGGGTCAAATGTTTGTTATTATGCCTAAAAATGCACATTTGTCCTTCGTTTTCCTTTGCTTAGCACCTTAATACATAAGCTAGTGAGTCAAAAGCAATTCAGATACAATCTATAAAGTAAACATGTAACTGGTAAATAGAAGCTCCTAATGTCATATTATGAAATTCCTTAAACAAGCAAAATAGTTGTTAGAGAAAAGGAAGGTAAGCCTTACTTTTTGATACAGTTGGTCATGAGAAGATGGACATCTTGTCTTTCATCTAACAGCAGCATTGCTCCTAAGTAGCCAATGCGTTTGTCTGTAAATTTTTGAGAGGCAATAAGTTTGAGGCACTCCAACTGCAAATATAAAGAAGAAAATGATATTAAGAGCCTGCTACCACAATCTAGAAAAGCAATGTTCACAGATGACCAAAGTGTAGACTTTTATCATCAAACCTCCTAAATGAAAAAAAGGACTTAAACTTTTAAACGCCTCAATAATAGTAATCAGATTATGAGAGATTATATTGTCAAGGTCTCATACCATTTGCCATCCAAATAATTAAGTTTTAACTTAGTTCATACAAACACAAACGAGTCTAGTATTTAAGATATTACTGAGCTAAATTTCTAATGTTATCCCTAGCTTACATTAATTATTTAACTCAGATTTAAAGTTTAGTTCCTATTTTGATAATCAAAAACTTCAAGCCAGGCACAGGTGGCTCATGCTTATAATCCTAGCTTTTCAGAAGTCTGAGGATCATGATTCAAAGCCAGGCAGGGCAGGAAAGTCTGTGACCCTCTTACTTCTAACAAATTACTCAGAAAAAAGCAGAAGTGGCACTTGCTTCTCAAGTGGTAGAGTGTTAGTAGTTAATAAAAGAAGATCAGGGATAGCACCTAGGCCCCGAGTTCAAGCCCCAGGCCAACACCAACACCACCAAAAAAAAAAAGGAAATACATAAAAGTGCCAAACAGTATCTTAAGTATCAGAAAAGCACAATTAAAGAAGGGAGCCCATAACTGATTTTAAAATAATGGAGAAAATAATATGATTAGAGTGTAAATTTGGAGTAGTATGAGAGAAGGGAGGGCGAGTGAAGAATCAAATAAAGAAAAATCCAGAGGAAAACTCAGTAGTGATATGAACCTATATTATTCCATATGATTTCTACTTTACATAATCCTTAGAGATAATTCTTCAGGGTTTAAGTGCCCTTGTAATAAATTCGACCTTTCTTGAAAGTCATAATCATTTTAGAATACTTTATCATTTCATCTTGACAACACAGAAAAAACAAACATTCCCTCTGGAACAGTGGTTCTCAACATTCCCTCTGAAACTATGCTTTCCTTTAGAATCAGTCAAGTACCCTGAAAAAAGAAGCTCCGATGGAAATCTGTGTACCCAGGAAGCTAAGAACCTGTAAGACTATTTTCCCATTATGAACTTGGAGATGACCTAACAGTTCCATAAATAAAAATTGCTGTTCTCAATAGACTTGTATTTACAAAAATTCCTAAAGCCAGCTGGAAATGTGGCTTAGTGGCAGAGTACTTGCCTAGCATGCATGAAGCCCTTGATTCTATTCCTTAGTACCACAGGAATCTCTGGGTTTTATTCTTCAGTACCACAGAAAAAGCCAGAAATGGCACTGTGGCTCAAGTGGTTGAGGGGTAGCCTTGAGCAAAAGAAACTCAGGGGACAGTGCCCAGGCCCTGAGTTTAAGGCCCAGGTCTAGAAAAAAAAAATTCCTAAGTTGATTGACTATACTATCAGGAGTATGTCAAAGAAGTCTCCAAGAGCATAACTAGGAGCTGGTGGCTCACACCTGCAATCCTAACTACTCAGGAGGCTAAGATCTATGGATGGTGGTTCAAAGCCAGCCCGGGCAGGAAAATCCCAGAAACTCATCTCCAATAAATCACCAGAAAACTGGAAGTGGCGCTGTGGCTCAAGTGGTAAAACGCTCACATTGAGGTGAAGAACTGAGGCACAGTGCCCAGGCTCAAAGTTCAAGCCCACAACTGGCACAAAAAGAAAAAAAAAAGGGGGGGGAGGAAGGCTCTTTTATTTATTGATTGATTGCCAATCCTGGGGCATAAACTCATGACCTGAACCTTTTTGCTCAAGGCTAACACTCTATCACTTAGCCACAGCTCCACTTCTGACTTTTTGGTGGTTAACTGGAGATAAGAGTATCATGAACTTGCTTGCCTGCGCTGGCTTTGAACCAGAATCCTAGGATCTCAGCCTTCTGTCTAAATAGCTAGAAATTACAGGCCTGAGCCATCAGTACACAGCACACGTTCAACTAAAAGTTTTTTGTTGTTGTTGTTTTTTGTTTTTGGGTCCGGTCTTGGTGCCTGAACCCTGGGACTAGGCGCTGTCCCTCAGCTCTTCAGCTCAAGGCTAACGCTCTACCACTTGAGCCATAGCGCCACTTCCGGCTTTTTTCTTTTTGCTTATGTGGTACTGAGGAATCGAACCCAGGGCCTCATGCATGCAAGGCAAGCGCTCTACCACTGTGCCACCTTCCCAGCCCCTCAATTAGAAGTTTAAAAACAATTTCTGAAACACTTTAGCAATGTATGCAGAAAAAAATGGAAGGGAGGGGCTGGGAAGGTGGCTCAGTGGTAGAGCACTTGCCTTGCATGCCTGAGGCCCTGGTTCAATTCCTCAGCACCACATAAGCAAAAAGAAAAAAGCCAGAAGTGGCACTGTGGCTCAAGTGGTAGAGCGTTAGCCTTGAGCTGAAGAGCTGAGGGATAGCGCTCAGGCCCAGAGTTCAGGCCCCACGACCAGACCCAAAAAAAAAAAGAGGGGATAGGCAGAGTATCTGCCCAGCAAGCATAAGGCTAACCCCAGTACTGTCAAAAGAGGACTTAAAATACAACCCCAGTAACTGGAGGAAATTTTAAGTAACTGGAATTGTAATATAACTTAATAACCATTTTTAAATAGTTAAATTCATAAAGAACAATTGTCATGCTATCCTATCATTTCTGCTGATGCTTGTAGGAGTTTGAGATATATGCTTGTTTCTAATCTCTAATCCCCAATGGCTGTACTTCATTCTTCTGGTGGTTATTTTATATTCCTAGCTTCTACAGATTTCTCTTTTGTGAACACCAGTATTTAATTTCTGCCTTAATATACTTGTTTACTTAAGCAAACTTCTCCCTCTCCCCTACTTCTAATCCCAAAGGACTGGTAATGATCTCTTTTCCTACTCAGATCTTTAAAAGAAAAAAAAAAACCTTCCTTCTAATTGGGAGGCTCTGTTTTGAGATTCTATGGTTACTACCAGCATAACCTCCAAAGAGACATTTCTCTAATGTAGTACATTCCTACAGTGTACCAACAATGTGGTAGACCGCCACTGTAAACAAAGCATGTATTATGACTGTTATCTACAAGCTACTGTAAAAACAAGAGCACCTAGTTTGGTTTTAAGAAAAGACAAAAGGGGCTGGGAAGGTGGCTCAGTGGTAGAGCGCTTGCCTTGTATGCCTGAGTCCCTGGGTTCGATTCCTCAGCACCACATAAGCAAAAAGGAAAAAAAAAAAAAAGAGTCCAATTAAAAAAAAAGAAAAGACAAAAGCTAGGAAACGATGGCTGGCTCATGCCTGTAATCCTAGCTACTCAGGAGGCTGAGTCCAGGGTCCGGGGTCTGGGAAAAAACAAAAACAAAAAAAACTCCAAGAAAGGTTCCTATCTCTATAACACATGGTAGATGAGAAAGAAAGCCATCTGAGCTAGGGGTGGGGCACCTTCCTAGTTCTCTTCCACCTAAAGGTCTTGGTTTCTACAACACTACAGCAACATAGCTATGACAGCCACTCCACTCCCTGCTTTCAGGGTAGTCAGCAGGTGACCCTCAGAAAGAATGCTAGCAGGGGCTGGGAAGATGCTCAGTGATAGAGGGTCTGCCTTGCATGCATAAGGCCCTAGGTTCTATTCCTCAGCACCACAGAAGCAGAAAAGGCCAGGGGTGGCGCCGTGGCTCGGATGGTGAAGTGCTAGCTTTGAGCTGAAGAGCTGAGGGACAGCGACCAGACCCTAGCAGAAGGATACTAATCAGCCATTAGCAACAAGCTTAGGAGACTGGAAGCTACTGGCCCCTCAAGGAACAAATACAAGGCCTTAGAACATTTATCAAGATGGGTACAGCAGAATCATCTGAGAGAGCTTTCCTTCTTTCCTTCTTTCTTTTTTTCTTTCTTTCTTTCTCTGTCAGTCATGGGGATTGAACTCTGGGCCTGGCCGCTGTCCCTGAGCTCTGGAGGCAAGCACTCTACCACAGCATCACTTCCAATTTTCTGGTGGTTAACTCGAGGTAAGAGCCTCACTGACTTTCCTGCCTAGGCAGGCTTTTAACCTTAATCCTCAGATCTCAGTCTCTTGAGTAACTAGGATTACAGGTGTAAGCCACCAGCGCCCAGACAAGAGCTTTTTAAACTATAGGTCACTCCCAGAAAATTCCAATAGGGAAGATTTGGGATAAAAAATGACAATTTCATTTTTACAAAAATTTTCTGGGGGACTTTTTTGTGTGTATGTTGGTTCTGGAGCCTGAACTCAGGGCCTGGGCACTGTCCCTGAGCTCTTGTGCTCAAGGCTCTCCCGCTTAGCTCTACTTCCAGCTTGCTATTTGGACTGGATGGTGTTTTTTCCTTCTATCAGGAAGTGAGGACAGGGGAGGGGGAACACCTGAAGATTCCTATTGAATTTATTTTTTCTCGTTAAGAAAACTTACTTTATATTTTATTCAAAATAAAATTGCATACAATGACCTACCAGCTAGCTTTTTCAAATCTTAACCTTTTGTATGTCTGTGTTGTGTACTCTGGTCCTAGAGCTTGAACTTGGGGCCTGGGCACGGTTTCTGATTTTTTTTTCTTTTTTTGCTCAACACTAGACTTCTACCACTTGGGTCACAGCTCCATTTCCAGCTTTATGGTAGTAGCTGGGGGGCTCATGGGTTTTTCTACCAGGGCTGGCTTTGAACTGTGATACTTAGATCTCAGCCTCCTGAGTAGTTAGGGTTTCAGCTGGGATACCACCAGCTACATTATTTATTTTTAAGATATATATATATATTTTAATTTTTTAGAAAGCATCTCACTAGCCTGGCGCTGGTGGCTCACGCCTGTAATCCTAGCTACTCAGGAGGCTGAGATCTGAGGATCGCGGTTCAAAGCCAGCCCCGGGCAGGAGAGACCATGAGACTCCTATCTCCAATAAACCACCAGAAAACCGGAAGTGGCGCTGTAGCTCAAGTGGTAGAGCGCTCGCCTTGAGCTGAAGAGCTGAGGGACA